TCTCCCTAGATTCTTGGTGTACTGGTTCTGGGCAGGGCGGGAGAATTAATCTTTCCATTTCCTCTCTCTAGGAAGTCCTGCTCTGCAGTTCTCTGCTGTATGGATAAACATGACATCTCCTATAAGAATACACACAACAGCAATTTTTTTTGCTTAAATTCTTTCATTGGTACATTTTAGGTAAACAATACGTTTGCATTTACCATTGGGTGCTTGTACCTGTACATGATGTATCTTGGTTCCTATTTTTTCCCCATTACCTGTGCGCCCTTCACCCCTCCATCCTTCCCTATTTACATACTTCCTTTCCATTTTTTTTTTTCCCATAATTTTTCCTTTCCATTCTTCCCTTTCCTCATCTCTTCCCACCACCCCTACCCCTTTGGACCTTTTCCTATTTCAAAGTGTCAATTATTAGTTATTAATCCTTTTAATCCTTATTTACAGTCTCAGTTTCTCACACTAGAGAAACTATTCAGTATTTACACATGTGTGTCTTATTTATTTCACTTAAGAGTATGGCCTCAATATGCATCCATTTAGCTATAAATGACTCTAGTTTCTCATTCTTTATGGCTAAGTAGTACTCCATTTTATTAAAAAACCACATCTTCTTTGTCCAGTTTCCAGTTGATGGGCACTTGGGCTATTTCCAAGCTTTAGCTATTACAAACTGTGCCGCTATAAACATGGGTGCACATATATCTCTGTGGTACGATTCTTTTCATTCTTTTGGGAAGAGATCTAGCAGGGAAATAGCTGGGTCAAATGTGACCTCCAGCCCTAGTTCTTTGAGGTATCTCCATATTGATTTCCACAGTGGTTGCACCAGTCTGCACTCCCACCAGCAGTGGAGAAGGGTTCCTTTCTCTCCACACCCCAGTCAGCATTTGTTATTGGTTGATTTCTTGAGAGCAGCCACTCTTTCTGGGGTGAGATGGAATCTCAGTGTTATTTTCATCTGCATCTCTCGAATGACCAGTGAAGTTGAACATTTTTTCAAATGTTTATTTGCACAACAGCAATTTTGACATTTCGGAACATAGAAAGGGCACGGCTCTAGGCCATCAAGGTAAATCTTGACAGTGGCAGTCAGGAGTTTAGAAATCATGCTAAGAAATTGGAAAGCAGGTACAGAATCTGTGGTTTATGGATCAGATGAAGACTTGGTATATGTTTGCTTCAAATTTAGTGATTTTTCTCAAATAACATTATGGCAGAGATGACCAAAATGAAATGAAACAATCCCAAAAGAAATGATAAGGAGGGCTGCAATGATTCTAGTCCACGTCGTGGCTGCTCACCCATCTTTATTCATGTGTTCCCAATCCCTGTTGTTAAGCTTTCTGTGACAAATTTTATCTAAATTTCTATGCTACATTAAAAAGGCATATAGCACTTTTCATCAGTGCCACATAATTTTTAATATCTTAACTAGATGATTTTTGACAGAACAGGAGAAAATTGCTGAAATTAATGCTGTACACATTTCTGCAGATTGGAGAAAGAATAGTAAAAGAAATCATTATGGCCTGCATCGCAATGGATGGCTTATGTTTAATCTTTTAGGTTTACTAGACATGACAGAACTCTGCAGAGGCCAGTTTAAATCATTGCTTTTTAGCACTAATCAGTGCCTGCCCTGCATGTCTGGTGCTAACATTTAATTGTAGCCAAGAGAATCTGAGAAACACAGAGATCTATCCCTACACTAGCAAGCCGCAAACAAAATCAATAGCCTTGTGCTGGCAACATTATTTTATTGTTGTCTCTTTAATCTCCCTTACTCTTTTACAATTACTTTTATTACTACTGTTCATTTAATGAGGCTATGGAGCTTGGAGCCAGATGGTTCCATTAGTTAAATCTGGAAGACTCTAATGGAATTGAGTTCAGATCAGGTTAAAAGCAATAGCATTACAAATTTCAGTGGTCCCTGCCTCCTAGCACACTGCCTAGTGTACCTGTTCCATGACAGAAATTAGTGGCAACCTCAAACAGAAAGACTCGGAACAAAGTTCTGTGATACTGTGTAGGTTCACTCACTCACTCATTCTACACGTACTCCAGCAAATTCTCATTTGGGTGTCTCAGAGGGACACAGACCAGAGAGTCAGATTCCCTACTTCATGGAGCTTGTAGTCTACTGGAGAAGAAAGACAGTCACAAACAAACAGCAAGACTGCTATGCATCTGTGATAAATGCCGGAAAGAGAGGAAGCAAAGAGCCAGTGGGAAGGGGGGTGAGTGGAAGGGGAGTTGAGGCAGGAGGTTGGTCCACTTATCTCTCTGAAGAGGTGTATTTGGGCTGCGATCTGAATAGTGGTAAGTAGCTGACCCTGGGAACAGTGAGAAGAATGACATTTCTGTTGTCAAAAGGAACAACAAATACAAAGGCCTTGGGGTGGAAGTTATTTGGTGTCTGTGTTTGTCGGCTTTCATTACTATAACAAAAATACCTGAGGTAGTCCAATTATTAAGAGGAAAGGTTATTTCTCTCACAATTTTGAAGGTTTCAGTTTATGACTGGCCTGCTTGTGGCTCTGGGCCTGTGGTGACATAGTATACCATGTTGGGAGGGTGAAATGGAACAGATTATTCACCTCATGGCCAGATAAGGAGGATGGGGAAGAACCTGGGACTTTCAGTCTCTTTGGAGGGAAGCCCCAATGACCCAAAATGCTCCACAAGGCCTACCTTTTAAGGTCTCCACCCCCTTCCAGTTGTGCAAAGCTGAGCATTAAGCCTTCAATGCATGAGCCCTTTGGGTCCTTGGATAACCAAGGACCTCTGGAGCACTGGAATCTTATAAGAGAGGAAGGTGGTCCGAGAGGGAGGTGGACAGCTGTCAGAAACTGCTGGCCTGGAGCTGCAGTTGAGTGAACATATGGGCATTTAGACACTCACATTATCCTGGGCTTTCAAACATACCTTTGTGCCAAAGTACTGATGGATAACTTGCAGAAAGAACACCTTTGGGTCAAGGCAATGAGTATTCACGGGAGCCTTATGATTTGGTCAGTGAGGGAAGTCATCAGAAATGTGATTTTGCTTGGCCAAAGGATGTATTGTAGGGCAGTGATGCTCGAAGCAGGCAAAACCAAGGCAGGAGTTTGATTACTAAGGTTGCCTTATACATGTGGCAGTAATTTAAGTTTGACACTACAGCCATTACTGGAGGTTGCACCCATTACATTTAGGTCTCTTCCTTCTTGTGGGCCTGCTCCTGGAGAACATTGCTGCCCACATCACACCCTTCAGCAAATGCGATGGTCCCTTCCCCTGGCTGTCCCCTTCTGTTCTTTTTCCTAGGCTGTTACCTTCTCTACTGTTGGATGAGTTTGCAACCCTAAAGGCTGAGATGAAAGAGACTCATGAGCTCCCGTCAATCATCCCCCAGAATCTTTCTTCAAGCCCTGTCAGAATTCTCATGGGGATCGAGGCCTCTTTGGCTGATGCTTATATTTGCTTTTGATATATAGGGTGAGCTAGAGTACTATTTTAATCAAGATAGTCTCTAGATCTGTTTCCTCACACATAGCAGACACTAAAAAGTATGTATTAAATTCTTACTAGTAGTTCCTGTTTATTGAGCCATTCATTTGATGTGACAGTTAACCTTCATCGTCAGCCTGATCGGCTTGAGAGCCATACAGGGGATTAGTATAACACACTTCTGAGTATGCCTGGGTGGGTCAAGGAAGTGTTACCTTGGATACTATATCTGGCCCCTTCCTGTCTGGCACTGTTTCTCTGCTCTGCCTCCTGGCCACCTTGGAGTGAGCACCTTCTTCCACTATATACCTCCATCTTGATGTTTCTGCCTTGGAACCACCCAGCCATGGACTGAATCCTCTGAAATCATGAGCAAAACTAAACCCTTGCTCCTTTAAGTTGTGTATTTCAGGTATTTGATTCCAGTGATGAAAAACTGACAAAATACATTTTCTGAGTCATCTGCTGAGGGCTTGTTATTCAATCCTTATGTGATGTATTGGCTGGCCAAATACATTTCTTGGTACCTGGACATTTTGACAAACACTATTCTAAATGTCTTAATCAACAGACTTTGGGCAAAGCAGATGACCTTATTGTGTGTGGGGACTTCATTCAACCAGCTGAAGGCCTAAGCAGAAAAAGGCTGAGCAGCAGGAAGGGATTCTGTCAGCAGCTGCACTTTGGAGTGCACCGCAGCCCTTCCCAGACCTCCAAAGCCAATTCCTTCAAACAAATCTTTCTTCTTTCCTCCATTCTTCTTGTTAGTTCTCTTTTGTTGCACAACTCTGACACCTATCCATTTATGCTCATTTTACAGATGAAGACGTTGAGTTGCAGAGGTGTTGAGAACTATGACGAAGGACACACACTAGTGAGTACATAGTAGAGCTGAGATTCCAGGACTGGCCTTTCTGAGCCACAGCACAGCCTTGCGTGTTGATGTGATGAATAAACACACAATAATCTATATGTAAAATACACCACGTTTCCTAGAAAACATTTCTCTTTTTAGCAATTCACAACCTACTTTGGGTTTGTGTAGTGCACAAGAATGGTCATGTAAAACACCTGGTGTTCCCGGAGATGTACAAGAATGTTCACTAGCAGGAATGTCGGTAACAGAATTGTGTCACAGCTTCTTAATTCACCTGTGCTTTGCTTGGAATGTTTAAAACCCTGATAAAGTTCTCTTCTTTGAAATCATACTTTCCAAAACAAATCTCAAAATCCTCATATTATTTTCAGAAATAGTACACTGGAAGTACTATGAGAAGGTCGGACTCTGCAAAAACTGAAAAGTAGCCATTTTGTTGAGCATGCCATCCCCCAAAAGAATGAAATTAAAAGGAGAAAACAAACAGCACACGTGGAGCCCTGAGCCTCTTGATGTCTTTTGCCACGGGCTAAAGTCCCCCAGTGAAGTCTAAACTTCAAAAGTGGCCTGAAATTGGAACTTTTCCATAGGAAAAGTCAGCAGTAAAAATTGACCCCAGGATCAATTCTTTCTGTTTAAGTTGCAGACTGTGCCGATCAGAGAGAGCAACCAGATCATATTTGATTAATTCAGCTGCTCTCAGAGAAAATCGTCACCTTAGAGCCACAGAAAGACAATCTCCCGGGCTCTGAATTAAAATTATTCTTTCTACAATGGAGAAGACAGTGATGAAGATATTGATTATATTTGCCCTTGGAATGAACTACTGGTCTTGCTCGGGTAAGGAACCCAAGGGCAGGGCCTCCTGCTCTTAGGAGGCACCATGACCCTAGCCTGGCATCTCACCTCCCTGTGCCCATGTGCTTGTGTCCAGGGTTCCCCGTGTTTGACTATGATCCTTCTTCCCTGCATGAAGCCCTCAGTGCCTCCGTGGCAAAAGTGAACTCTCAGTTGCTGAGCCCCTATCTGTTCCGGGCGTTCAGGAGCTCATTAAAAAGAGTAAGTGAACAGTGAGGCCTCCTCTACTCTTCTTTGTACTTTCTGTCTTTTCTTTAGTCCATTTGTTGGATAGACTCTTTATTTTTATTTTTTCTAGTTTAAAAAGGTAACAGTACCCCTTCTCTTTCCCACTGATGTGTTCTTTCGGGCAGAGAAAGGATTTAATTATGATTCTTTTCCTGAGGCTCTCAATGCTGCTTTGGATGTCTGACTCTTCTGCAGTGTCCTTCCCTCTGACCTTGTCCTCTCTTTCTCCGCATTCCGCCTCTGGACCTGAAACCCTCATGGCTCCTCCGGCGGTGTTTTATTAAGAACTGCTCATTTATTGGAAATGAGCCTCCTTTCCAATTCAGCAGCTCTGCTCTGACTTCTTAGAGGAAATAAATTCTGGCTTTTGAGCCAAAGAACTCCACCTTCTTTGTCAGTTTGGTAATATTCTATTTCCTGAGAGCCTGGAGAACTAGGGGAAGAAGAATTTTTGGGGCTTCCGATGATTAAGTCTGTGAAAAGCAAGGGGAAAAATGTAGAATCACCCTTTAGAGGAAATGAAAAAATGAGGCAGCACTTCCCTCTCTCCTTCTTGTTCCCCAAAGGATTTCACTGCCTAGTTATCGCCTTAATGGGGCTCACAGGAGGCAGGAACAGAAATACCCTCAAGCATTCAAGTTAAGGTGAAAGATGTGGGAGGTTCAGTAAAGTTACCTGGTCTGGGAATGAGAAGGGAGAACCAGGCTGCCTGGGAACAAGAAAGGGAACTGGCCAGGAATCCAGGCAACAGCTATCCACTCTCTCTGCAGTTGTTTCTCTCTCTCTCTCTCTCTCTCTCTCTCTGTCTCTCTCTCTCTCTCTCTGTCTCTCTCTCTCTCTCTCTCCAGGGTCTTTCTTCAGCTCACACTTGGCTTATTCCCCCAGCTACTCCTTACATCATGATTCATGGTTTCCTAGCCCTGCTCTCTGGATATAACATTTATCTTGACCTTCTTCTGCAGAAATGGGCTCTGTTTCTGTTTGCTCAATTCTGAGCAAATTGATTGAATTGTCTTGGTTGCCTTTTCTAATTGGTCATAGGTCTATGGGCTATGCCTTAGTTGGGCACCCTGCCTGGGATATGGTCAGACTTGGGTGCTACTTAGACTTGGATGTTGTGGTGGGGATATTACTGCAAGGTCAGTTTGGTTAGCTGCCAAGCCCGAGATTGAACTGCTTCTGGAAGATTACAAGGTCAGAATAAATAGCACTTTTCTTTCTATACTGCTTGCACTGGCTTTCAAACGCCAATTTTCATTGACATTTAACGATATCTTGTAGTATTGTGGAATCCATATCTTTTTGCCAAGTTTGCACACAAATAGTTTAACTTTGTAATTTAGCCATTGCTCTCTACAGCACAAAGTTAGTGCTTAATTAAATGAATAAGAGCATGAGAAAAGATCCTGAGAGAACAAATTAGAGGCACCGTGGAAATCTGCCCTGGGGAGATAAGACAGTATGTAGCATAGCTACCCGGGCATATTCTGGCATGGGAACCATTTTAATATAGTCACGCAGACCTGAGGCCATAAGCATGCATCTAAAGCTGAACACACCCACTGGTAAAGTGAATAAACCTTATAGGTACATAAATAAGTGATGGTCCTCTGCTTCAAGTATGTTGCTTCTCCATCTGGAGGTCTTCCAGTTTTTGCCTCTCTCCAGCCTTTTCTGATTATTAAAAATCATCTGTCAAGTGACATTCACCATGCTATATCCTCCAATTATTCCCTCCATTCTAAAAGGACCATCCTCCTTTGATCTTTCCTGGTGAAAGTTTTTGTCTCAAAAGTGTTTCACATTTTTCTTTATGTTAACCATATCTTCTACAAACACCCTGTAGATGGTCCTAAATACACCTAGATTCTCTATCCTAATAGACATGAAGATCTGCTAAGAGGCAAAGCCCTTGGAGAGAGCTGAGTGAACAGATCACTGGCACTGAGGGTACAAACAATCCTCAAAAGAATTAAGAAACATTTGGAAAAAATACTTGACCACTGTACTATCCAGAAAGAAAAAAAAATCAGAATTAAAGCAATGAAGTGAAAAGAAAGAATAACAGGGTGAGAAAGAAATCCCAATCACTGCTATGGAGTATGACTTGGTAAAATTATCTTTAAAAAACAATTAGAAATATTTATTGAGCATATTTTCAAGGACATTCAACATTAAAATTAGCAAATCTTTTAAAACTTTAAGTGTACAATTTCACTTCTAGAAATATGTGGTATTTTGGGGAAGAGTCCAGTAGACTTTGAGAAAAAGGTCAGACCTCTCTTCTTTATCCCTGAGTTTACTCTATAATTCTGGTTGTTCTTGACTTCACATTATTGTCAGCTAAGAGCTTTAAATATTGTTGATGTCAAGGAGGGATGGTTGGCTAAGTAAATCCTCATCTTCAAGGTTGGTGTTTATATTCTTCAGTGCTGTCCTGGGTCCTTCTACTACGTAATGAGAGTGAATAACCACTGGGTTTTACCAAGAGACTCAAATCAAATATTGTTGTGCTTGAATTCAAGTTTCTACCTTTTGGATTCCAAGTTTTCAAAAGGATGAAGAAAGGTGAAGTGACATGACTGAAGCAGTAATGGTCTCCTTGCTGCACCTTTGATATCAAGTTTGTCCAGATTGTTCACCTGGTGGACACAAGTGAGGAAAGGAAAGATGGACAGGAAGCAGAGTGGGGATCAGCACCAGAGGGGAAAGGCCAGGGACCAAATATAGTCAAGGTCATGCCTTCACGACTGACCCACACATACTCAAAAGTTCACTAATCCCCTGGGTGGCTCTCAAGCTATTCAATTTGACAGTCCAGCTTAATTGTCACATTCCACCTCTTGTCAACTTAACATCCCAAAACATTTTCCTAAACCACACTTATTCTACAAATAAATGCATGGTCACAATTCTGTCTAACACGATAGAACTAGCCTAGTTACAATAAAAAATGTACTAATACCCTCCTCAAATTCTCAACAGTTCTTACACTACCCAAAAGTCCAAGTCAAAGTCTCAAGGCAAACGCCTAGCTGTGAACTCCTGTAAAAAAATCAAGATCAAGTTTCATATTCTCTATAGGCAGTGGTACAGGGTAAATATTCCCATTTCATAAGGGAGGAATAGGGGGATAGAAAAGAATGGAACCAGAGAAAACCCAAAATCCAACTGGGCAAACATTAAGTCCTGTAGCTCCATGTCTGGCATCCAGGCAAATGGTGATGAGATTTCAGTTCCAGAGGGCTTGGGCATCTCCACCCCTATGACCTTGCCAGTTGCTACCCACACAGCCTCTCTTGGCCTGGCTCTGCTCATGGCTTGTGGTCCTCCTCAATAGACATCCCATGTTACTGGCATTTCCAACTTCCTTGCATCTCCTCTGTACCTTGGCTTCATTCCGACAGGTTCCCACATTGCCCTCTCCTGGGCCAACTGCCCGGTCTTCCAGGTTTGTCTTTAAAATCTGGGTGGAAACTCCCATTTCCCAAAGCTCTTGAATTTTGCCTACCTGATAAAACAACATTATGTGTTTGATACCAATGTCTACTGCCAGCTTGAGCAGTGGCCAGATCTCTTTGGACTACAGCTCCAGCAGCCTCTGAGCGCCTTGGTGGCTGAGCATGGTGAAATGAATCCTGGGGAACCAGTTCCCTAGATGGCCTTTCTTCAACAGGAGGCCCAGTCGCTCTATTCTCAAATGGAAGGTTTACACTTTCACACCCTTCAGCTTGCTATGGGTGGGGTCTTGCTGATTCCTGACATACCTACACGTCGGCTTTCTTCTCCTTCCTATACAAAGTATTTGATTTCCTTTTAATGGTGCTAAACTTGTCAGCAAGCACATCTCATTTAGCTCCGAGTTTTTCATGCGGTTCCTTTTGGGCCAAAATTTAAGTTTTTCAAGTCTTAATGCTCTGCTTTTTGCTCCCAAATTATACTGTAAATCTGACTAAAAGCAGCCAGCAGTACCCATACCACAACCTGAACATTTGGGGTGCCTTGAAATTTCCACTTCCTAATTAAGTAGTCTGCTACTACTAGTCTCATGTAAAGTCTTAGGACATGGGAAAAATGTAGACAAGTTCTTTGCTAGAGTGCAACACACATGGTTTGTTATCAATAGAGCCCCTGTTCCCATCTGAAACCTCATAAGCCTGGACCTTACTGTGCATATTCCTATCAGTATTCTGGTCTTCTGAAATCTAACCAAAATTGCCCATTAGTCTCTGCTTAAAGCATTCTGGGGCTTCTCTTTCCTGCTTTCCAAACTCTTACTGGAAATCAGTTCCAAAGGCTTCTAAAGCACATACTTGGTCAGGTACAGTCACAGAAATGACCTCACTCTTGGTGTCATTTCTGTATTAGTCTGTTTTCCCATTGGTGGGAGACAATATCTGACACCACAAATTAAAGGAGGAGAGGTTTATTTGGGTCACAGTTTCATAGTTTTCATTCTATGATCAACTGGTTCGGAGGCAGAACATCATGGTAGAACAAGGTGCTCACCTCATGGTGGCCAGGAAGCTGAGCAAGGGAATAGCACAAGAGAGAAAGAGGCCAGGAAGCTGATATAGTACCAAAGATCACACCTCCATAACCCACACGGTACACTCAGAATTATGCGGGGCCAGGGATTTAGCTCAGTGGTTCTGGCACCTGCCTCACAAGCACAAGGTCCTGAGTTTGATCCCCGGTACCAAAAAAAAAAAAAAGAATTATGCTTTGGTAATCCCCTGGGCAGCCCTCAAGGCAATCAAGTTGACAGTTCATCCTAACTATCACAGAGAGGGTAAAAATAAATGAATAAAAAGTTCATTTTAGGTAGTGGTGAGTGAAATGTAGAAGGTAAAACAGGTTGACAGATGGATGTGCTTAGGCTGGGGCAGCACTCAGAGGAGGAAACCTCCACCGAGGATGTCATGTTTGAGCTAAGACTTACTGAAATGACAAGATGTTTCAGCCATGGGAAGACCTTTTGAGAGGAGGAATGGGAATGCGGAGTGAAGCCACTGGGAGAACCCCAAAGGACAAAAGGACTGAAGACAAAGAATGGCTAGAGTCCTATTAACCAGAGGAAGAAAGTTAGGGACAGAGTGAGGTCAGAGAGATGAGCATGGGCTGGAACATGTGTAGGTCGTGCTCTTGAGAAGTTAGGGCAATAGGTGGCCCTTGGAGAGATTTTAAACAGGCATCTCTGCCTTAGTCAGAAAAGGTTACCGTGACAACGTACCACAGACTGGGTAATTTATGAACAAGTGCAATTTATTCCTCATAGCTCTAGGGGCTGGAGCTCCAGATCTGAGTATGAGAATGCCAGGTTCTGGTGAGAGCAATCTTGTAGGTTGTAGAAGGCCACTTCCTTCATTATCTTCATGTGGCAAAAAGAGATCTCTGGCCCTCTTCTTATAAGGCCACTAGTCCCATCATTAGGGCTCCATCCTCAAGATGTAATCACACCCAAGGACTCCACCTCCAAACGCCATCATCTTGGGACTAGGGTTTCAACATATAAATTGAGTGGTGGTGGTCAGGTATTCAGTTTATTGCAATCTCTCTATTTGCTGGGTGGAGTTAGGTTGAAGGGAAGAACTCAAGGCTGGTAAGATGCTGGTGTGGAATTCAGATAGGCGGTTGTCTTAGGCCATGTGCTAGTCCATTTTTGTTGCTATAACAAAATACCTGAGACCTAGGTATTTATATTTATTATAAAGAAAATAGGTTACTTATCCATAATTCTTCAGACTGAGAAGTCCAAGCACACGATGCCAGCATCTACTCAACTCCTAGCAAAGGGTTTCTTGTTGCTCCATAAAGTGGTGGAAGACATCACATAGCAAAAGAGAGCAAATATGCCCGAGAGAGTTCATTTTTTGACAAAGCCATTCCAATGATTGACCATTAATTCATGAAGGGATTAATCTAGAAAAAGCCTAGATTTCCACAAATGGAAAGAAGACAAGAACTGTTGAGAAAGCCTGCATCTTCTTAGGGTGTATTTAAGTGGTTGTAAGCAGAATGTTGGTAGAAATATGAAGAGTGAGGCCATTCTTATGAGGTCTCACACAGATGTAAGGGACAAGCAATTAGAAACTAAAGTGAAAATCACCCAGCATGGACAGTCACAAAGACTTTGGCCATTTTCTAGGGTGTTGTGAAAGGCAGAATTTGAGTGATGAACCAAGCATCAAAGCACACCAGGTGCTGCATTTCTTCTTTCGGGCACCTACAGCAAGATGAGAGCTGAGAGAAATGATTTGAAGATGGAGTTTATAATTAAAAGGGAAATTGAACAGAAGAACTTGGAAAGCTCTCAGTCTGGTCACAGAAAGAATAAAAAGACTTGTTCAGGAGAATATACTAAGTGTGACCAAGTGAGTATTTGCTAAAAAGACAGATACGGAAGGGAAAAGCCCTGGTTGGGTCTTTTCTACCTAACCACCTACCCATGGGCTGCAGGAGCATCAGTAGCCAGAGATTCCCCATCTCTCCAACATCATGGTGAATGCATCCACCCTGGCTCATGCTGCCCCAGCCCCACGAGTCAGGCTTGGCGTGTTCCAGAGCACTGGCTCCGCTTTCCCTTGTGTGATGGCTCCTTCCCATCCTTCAAGTCTCAGATTAGATTTTCCTTCTCCTGGAGGGTTTTCCTGGCACTTTGTCTAAAGTGGCTACTTTGCCCCCTCAGCCATGACCATGCTGTTGTTCCTCAGAGTGCTGTAACAGCCCTCTTGTTTGGGTTGTTTTAAGGATCTACTCTGTGGGGCCCACTCTTAACCTCTGAGCTGCATTGCATCTCTCCAGAGCTGCCCCTGGCCCTGCATGTGCAGCAAGACCTCTGTGAATCACACTGCTTTCTTGTTATCAGAACCTCTCAGGTTTGTCAGGAAGTTTGGATGGCTCCTCAGTATCCACCCTTGGTGAAGAAAAACAGAAAATCATGAGAATTTATTCAATCATGAGAACGCTGAAACCTGAGCCAAGGTTGGATGATGCTATGTAGCAGAGATATGCTTGTTGCCTACTTACTCAAACACCCGTACAATTGATTCCTGTTGTTGGTAGAAATTATGTTCTATAAAATTGCCATAAACATTGAATTTGCAAATACTGAATCATTGTCTGTAGTGGAAAAACAGGGTTATTTCCTGCAGGTTCTGGGTTATGATATTTTTGTTGAACTGTTAATACATAACTTTATTTTTTTGTTAGTTCCCATTTGAAGATGCCTGGCTTAATAGATAGTGTAAATTCATTGACATTGAACTCACTACTGAGGACATGATAATTCCTACCTAGAGGGAGTTTGTTTAGCACATGTACCATATTTTCTCCATAAAGCACATCACAGTTGTTTGCCCTGCAGAATGCTGGGCAGCTCTTCAGTACTAGGCTTGGGGTCCAAATTTACCCTCAAAAAACATAAAAAATACAAAACCTCTGCCAGTAAATAAGCTAGAAAAAGCACAGTTGTTCACACTTGAGAGTCGAAACAGGAAAGCAGAGCACCGCCTTGTTCGACCTCAGTTGGGAAACTCACGTTGGGCGACTCAAATATTTTTTCATTCTACACTGGTTCATGAATGGCAGCGAGAGCATAGCAAGCATTAATTTTTGACTTCCAATAAAATTTAGAGGGCAGGCAAGTTTGCAGTGAGGAATTCTTGAATCCTGAGGCTCAGTTGTCAATGAAAATCTCCAGAAGGGACGCTAGCCCACATTTTGGTTTCGTTTTGGTCCGTGTTGTAAACTGCGCGACTCTCCTAAGTCCCTGTTTCTCTCTGGGCTTCAGACTGAGGGCATGGAAGCAGGCAATGGCTAAGGTGATGTTCAGCCTCAGGGTGGATGGTTCTGTAAATGTTCTGTGATTGGGCAGAAAGAACCACGTCTGGTTCTGCGAACTTCAGAAATGCATCTCTCACAAGCTGACACTTGGTTTTGTGAAGGTGAATGCTCTGGGTGAGGACAGCGTGATCATGAGCTTAGAGTTCAGCGTTCGAGAAACTACGTGCTTGAGGGGGTCCGTGGAAGACCCGTCTGCCTGTGCCTTCCAGAGGGGCTACTACGCGGTGAGTGCAGCAGAAAAGGACCTCGGCCCGGAAATGAACGTGGAACGGCTGCTGGTTCTTCCCTGACCACAGCTAGAGTCGCAGACAGCATGGCAGCTGCCTGGCTGTGATCTGGCCACAGCCCGAGTCCTCCCCGTGTCCCCAGCCCGGGGGTGGGGGTCGGAAACAGGAGCCCTTGAGCTGCGAATCTGCGGTCCTGAGGGATCCTGGGAAATCCTTTAACCCTTGGTGCCTCAGTTTCCTGTTAAAATGAGGATGAAGGGGTCTGGGGAGGGGAAGATGGCAGGGCAGGGAAGAGAGGAAGTAAAAATGATTACGATGCAGTGCGGATACATACCCACTCCCCAAGATGAGTGTAATTATTAGGGGTTACAAACATATACTAATAAAAAGGAAACAAAAATAATAATTACAATAAATTGGGGATGAGTTTGTATCAGGTAAAGGGAGCGCGATGAGGCCAACACCGAAGGAAAATCTAGACACTTCAATTTCTGTTATAATGAATGTCCAGTGCAAACTGTTTTCCTGGGACAGGCCACGTTGTTTCACAGTGACTGCTGCTGCATGGTGTGTGTTTAGCTTCCATGAGTCGGGCAGGTGGCATGGTCATGCTGAATCCCCCAAGACCAGAAAGGGATTCCACACCCTGTCAGCCGCTGTGGGTAGAAACCATCTCAGAAAGGGGCAACCTTATTATCCCGAATTTGCTTTTCCTGGGCTTCTCATTCACATGTATGGCTTCTGGAACTCCTGTCACCTCCAACAGGATTGTTATTTATTTCATGAAATTTTTGTTATGACTCTGTTTTACCAAGGACTGAAAACAAAAGGTCACAAGCATCTAGATGTTCCTGGGGAAATGTGAGGGCAGAGCTCTGTGAGCTCTTCATCCTTTTCTGTTGTCGCTCAGAATAGAGTCCATTGACAGAAGGCAGCCCAACTCAGTGCTCGTGAGGGAGGGAGTGTGTGTCTTTCCCAGAGACTTGTAATGTATCAGACACCTCAGAGATATTGAAATGTTTCATTTATTTCTGCTTAGGTCTTAGAAAGTTTTCATTCGGGAAAATGGAAGTGCCTCTGTGAATTCTCCCTTTCTGCATCGTGTTTTCAAACCCAGCGAGCAGCACAGATGCAGGCCCCTGCTACAGTTGCTGGAGATGTGACTCCTGGCCTTGTCTCTTCCAGCAAACCGCTGCTTGCAGAAGCACCGTGCAGATACTGGGGGAGCAGGTGCAGCAAGTGTGGGCTCACTGCCGCTGGCCCGACACATCCGAGTCCAGCAGCAGCGAGGAGGTATGGTGGGGCTTTGTCTCCTTCTGGACAGCATCCCTTCAGTATTGTGTGGCTCTGTGTAGAGTTGGGGCTTGACGGGGTAGCTGGATCATCACCCAGGCTGGAGCAGGCCTGACTCTGCTTGTACAGTGGATTCTCCCTTGGACACCCACAATCTCATTGTTTTTATGTCTGGCTTCTTCCACCCTGTTCTTTCTCTTTTTTAGTAGTACATGTTTGGAATACATAATGATTATTACATTCATTGTGGGAAATTGGTACACTTCCACAACACATCTTAATTCTTTTTTCATCCCTTTCCCTTCCCCTCCATCTCTTGGTCCTCTTCCCTTTTGCAAAAGAGCTATTTCCCTATTTCCTATTATCTATCCTCTATTTTGCTCTTTATAGTTTGGCTTTCTTACATAGGAGAAACCATGCAATATTGAAACTTCTGTGTCTGATTTATTTTATTAAACAATACAGTCTCAAGGTGCATCCATTTTGCTACAAATGATTCAAATTTATCCTTCTTCGTGGCAGAATAGTACTCCATTGTGTATAAATACTTTTTATTTTCTCTCATCTCTTTTCTGAGATTTGGGACATGATTTTTAAGTAACAATTAGCAAATTATTGAAGTTTTAGATCTAAGTCTATACCTTAGTGGAACAAAGAAAGGTGCTTTTTGTTGTTGTTGCTGGTGTTGCATTCACAACTGTTGACTAGATCTGCAGTGTATGTCAGAATCATCAGCTTTCATTTAAACTTCATTATCTGCAGCTTCTGTGCTAGTAATAAATGCTAGTAATAAAGACTGCCCTAGAGGTTGCTGAGAAAATAAGAAAATTCATGGAAATGAAACACCTGTTGTAGTATCTGGCTCATAAATGTTCAGTGAAAGGCAGACTTCTTTTCTACACTCTAATTGCATCAGAAATGATTTGCAATAATACTATAAAATTAATGATATAAATTTCTGACTTGAAATAATCATGTTACATATTTATTGATTGATAAATAATAGCTTTCCTTAATAGCCAGTATGCCTCCTGAGAGCAGAAAATGTTTGTTTTAACTAGCCTAGGACAATGCTTAACACTAGGTAGATATTCAATAAATACTTATTGAACAAATACAAGAAAGAGAGGGAAGAAATAGTCAAGAATACAGTATGAAGATGAAGACTCTTGACTCTAAACTACTAATAAAATATCAGTTACATTATTAGTTCATTCATCATTAGATAATATTCTTGATAAGTATTTCAATTTTTTCCTACTCTTATATAGCTGAATCTGTTGAACACTTTTCCTGAATCTTTTATTTTTATTCAATTTTCCAAAACTTAATTCTGTAGTGAAAATTATGGTAAAAGAGTATAAAGTTTCAACCCCAAGAATTACACATAAATGTTAATGTCCCCATATGACCCTCATCACCACCCCTTAGCTATTTGCTAAGAAAGTCCATGGAAGAATTAGGGAGCCATAAAACTCATGACTAAGGAACCCTATTCATTATTTACTTTCTTCTTGATGGGACAAAATACCTGAAACCTACAAATTAAAGGAGGAAAGCTTTATTTTAGCTCACAGTTTGTAAAGGTTTCAATTGATAATTGGCTGGCTCCAAGGCAGGACAGCATGGCAGAGGGACAATGTAAAGGAGAAACAGTCCATGGCAGGGTAGGCAGGGAGCAGCAAGCATCGAGACTGCTTTTCACTTTATAGTCCATCCAAGCTACCAGCCTATTGGATGGTGCTACTCGCATCCAGAATGAGGCTTCAGTGAATTTATCCAGGCACACCCAGAACCACACTAATTCAATCAGTGGACTAATCCAATTATAATGCACCCTTAATCCAATATAACACATGGATCAAGCCATATCTGAAAAGCCCCACTTATGAGCACATGAGTCTTTGGGGGAACATGAAGATGCAAGCCATAACACAATTGGAGGGGCAGTCTTTCTGGTGCAGAGAGGACAAAGAATTTAGTTGGCATAACCTTATTAGTTGGTTTCATTCACACTGGGAACTTTTGAATGCCAACAATCCCCAGGTGATTTCTGAGCTTGCCACACTGGAGTGTAGTTTAAGGATTCTCCCTTCTTGGTGCTGGGATAAGTACCAAGTGTCTCCTTTCCTAACTGCTACACACTCACAATGATACACTCACAGCTAACCCAGATATGACAAGGACTACACTTATCTTTAATGAGAATTGTGTTAATGTGGGGTTTTTTGTGGTTTATGGGGGCAGAGTCAGTGGGGAGCTAGATAAGCATAGTGGCAGTACTTGTGGCATTTAATAGACTAATGTGGGGAAGGTATCCATAGGCAAGAATTACCCCATAAACTACACAAGTATTGGGGGCAACAGAGTAAGAGGAATGAATATTTGGATGATAGGCAGAGAGAGCTTCCATGACAAGCAGGCATTTGAACCAAACACCACAGGGTAGATGGAAGTGAGAAGAAGAGGACCTGTGTGGTATAAAGGGAGAGAAATCACATGGGGATACCCTGAAATGCAAGAACAATGAAAAAAATTGGATTGAAATGGATGGAAATGGACAGAGGTTGGGTTGAAATATACAGAAATCTGTTAGGATTAGAATGAGCAAACTCTGGGGGAGAAGGACACAGATGGACTAGAGGTGAGCACCATCCAGGTCAGGTGTGCCTTAGGGTCATGGCAAGTGTCCCTGGCTTCCTCATAGTGAAGTGGAGGACACTGAAAGCTTTTTAGGCAGGGGTGCAGAGTCAGAGGAAGAATTTATTGGCAGGAGTGAGGAATAAATATCGAGCCTTAGGAGGGGGGAAGAAATGGTGAGAGAGAAGACTGACTGGGTAACCACAGGGAGAAGTGGATTCTAGTTCATTCCATGACCATCAACACAATTGAACTGACCTTCGTGAATGTCACCTAGTTTAACCCCTCTTCTGTCTTTGATTGGGAAAATCGACTGATTGTGCAACTCAAAAATCTGTTGCAACTTTCTAAGTGCAGGGGAAGTGAACTTTCTTTTCTTCTCATTCCAAGTTTTCTGCCCTAATGCTAAATTATGTCAGCCCTAAGAACAAACTAGATTTTAAAAAGAACTCCCACCCTGCTTGTCCTTAAAGATTGGGAGATCATAAAGAATGATGAGCAAGTTAAAAAGAAAGAAATTCCACACATTTAAGAATTCTATATTTTAAAAGAAAAAAGCAGATAATACATTTCCTTTTTTAAATAAACAAATTAATGGACAATACTTCTGTATATTTATGGGGCACAATGCAGTGTTTTACCTTTGTATATACTATAGAAAGAATTCTTACATGAAGCAGAAAGAAATAGAACACAGCTGTAACTATTTTCAGTGAAATACATGAAGATATTACAAACATGAAAGAAAATAGACTAGGATCAAGTTAGTGATAGAACAAATAAATTATTGTTGGAAGTAGAAAAAAGAAAAGCTAAAACATTTAAAAAGTCCAAGGGTATTAAAAAAAAGGCGATTTTAAAAACATATGTAAAATATTGAAGAATTTTCAGAATGAGGAATATAATATCAAAAAAGATGGAAGCCATAAAAAGTAAAGCCAAAAATCCCAATTGCAACCAATAAAGACTTAGTTCTAGTAGAAAATATTTGGGAAGGACACGATAGGGAAACTATCCTGAAGGTTATAAGTTTGAATTTACTACTTCGTGATTTTTAAAAAAGCATTGTTAACTGTAAAGAAATTGAGAAAATAAATTTCTAAATTTGCAAACATTCATCTCTGCTTAACATCATAAATATTTGAATTACAGGAATTTTCTGGTCTTTTTTACTTTCAATTTTGAACGAGAAACAAGCAGATGAAAGGTTTCTACGTAGCATGGGAGTGTGCCAACAGGAAGGTGCCCCGGAAGCCAAAAGGTGGAGGCTCCGCCCCTTTCTCCAGCTTCCGGTCAGGGAACCTGGCTTCCCAAGAGCCCTTACGGTTTGGATGGGTGGGGAAAGGCCTGAATAGTCCAAGAGGGAGAAACTGAGGAAGAATAACAGCAGGAATACTAGCTCGAGGGAGGATACATTTGACTGCTTTCCATTTTAGAAGACAGAAGTTAAGAAGTAGTCCAAGCCCCAAAAATAGCAGTAATCTAGGCCAAAAGGAGATAATTTCCTGGGTCATGTTCCCAGACAGCAAAAGGAAGAGTTGGCTTCACAGACAACTGAATTTAGGAAACTTCTACATTGTGGGCACCAAAACCTTCTCCTTCATCTTGTCCTTGGCCTCCTCTCCTCCCTCCTCCTCCTCCTCCTCCCCCCCCTCCTTCTTCTCTCTCTCTCTTTCTCTCTCTCTCTCTCTCTCTCACACACACACACACACACAATCATCCTTTCATCCCTCTCTTCAATCAGGAAATAAAGCCCTACCTACTCTAGAGTCATCTCCCCTGATAGCAGGAGGAGAAGGAAGCATTGTTTTTCCAGCTCCAGTTGAAAATTTTCCAGCTCTCACTGGCCTCGCTTAGGTTGTGTGCTCCTCATTCATACATATAACTCTACTGACTATTTATTGATTTTTATTTGAGTATATTTACCATGTACAATGTGATTTTGGATATGGGAGGTCCAGCACATGTTAGGGATGTGTTCTACCACTGAGCTACTCCCCCAGCCCCTAATGTTTTGTTGTCTTTCATTTTAAAATAGTACCTTTATCAAGACATAATTCTATACCATACAATTCACCTTTTTTCAATGTGTGCAATTTAGAGGTTTTTAGTATCTTCACAAAGAAAACTACCACCACTATCTACATTCAGAACATTTTCATTATCCTGAAAAGAGACTCCTGAAATAAATCATTCTCTATTCCCCCCCAAACCCTTAGTGATCACTGACCTGCTTTCTGTGTCTAAGGATTTTTCCATTTCATGTATGTGGAATTCTGTCCATTGCATATAAATAGAATCATACAATATATGTCCTTTTGTGATTACCTTATTTCAATTAATATAATGTTTGAGAGGGCATATCTATATACATCATAGAATGTATGAACATATTTCCAGGTAGCATGGAAAAAGAAATGAAAAAAAAATTCATTCCTTTTTGTTGTCGAATAATTTTCCATTTTATGGATATGACACATTTGATCTATTCATTCAGTAGCTGGTCAGCATTTGGGTTTTTCCACTTTCTGGCTTTTGTGAATACTGATGTCAGAAACATTCATGTCTCATTTTTTTGTGGATAAGTTTTTAATTTCCTGATAAATAGAATTGCTGGATATAGTACCTCTTGATTTTTGAAGGACTGCCAAATTTTCCTGTAGCAACAATGTATGAAGTCTTCGGGTTTAACACATTCTTGCCAACATTTGTTATTGACATCTTTTTTTCAGTCATTCTCATGGGTGTGAAGTGATTTAATTGTTATTCATTTGTATTAATTTAGTCTTCCTAATGACCAATGAATAGGCATTTGTATACAGACATTTCTTATTGAACTGAGTCCTGTTCCTACACTGGGCTGCTTAATGAATTGGTCACTAATTGAGGAATTGTACATAATATGCATTTTATGATATTTAGAACAAAGAAATGGTCATAGGAGACTACAACTTATGACTTTTTATTTGCATAACTCTTACATGCAGTACTATAATGTATAAAAGAACATAAAATTACAGTGCTGTATTGTACTGTTCAGTCAGCAAAAATTACAGTGCTGTATAAACAAGGTGCATGCTACCAAGATAAGACACTGAAGCTCTATAAACAAGAGGTACAGAACTATCCAAAAAGAGATGGGTCATAGGTCTGAACAGTTGTTATGTAGGTCGGTCATTAAACGAGGAAAATCTGTATCTTCTTTGGAGAAATGTCTATTGAATTCCACTCTTTACATTTAATTGAGTTGTTTTCTTCTTATTATTGAGTTATTTGCAAATGTTTTCTGTCACTTTGTGTGTCTTTTCACTTTTTGTTTCTGGCACAACATTTGAAAGTGTGTTCTGTGTCACTGAAAACTTTGGAGTCAATTTAAACTTTACATAAGTTGGTCTTCCCCGTGTGCTTTCTTGAACATATATACGTGATAACAAACAAACATAATATAACAAAATATGATGAGTGTTTAACATTTAAAATATATATTACAGTAAATGGCGCATAGCCATTAATCCTCTGCATCACAGACTTTGTCACTTTAGACACATTTATCCCATCATCCAGGTCACGTTCTGAAGTAGCTCTGGAAATCCTTTTTTGTGAGTGTCGTTTCATGGCTGCTCCATGTCTTGAATTGATTCTAAATGTTTATGGCAGTTTCTGTCAAATAAAAACCATTACAGTGTCTCCTCATACAATTGCAGATCTGGCATTGTATGACTTCTGGCTCTTCCCCAAAGCCATAGTGACCATGAAATAGAAATCCTCTGAATAGATTCAGTACATTGAGGCAGCCATGACAATGAAACTAGACACTTACAAAATAAAGAGGACTCCAGAACTGCTTCAGAAAGTAGCCAGAATGATGGGATAGGTGTGTTCAAAGTGAGGGGGAATATTCTGAAGGGGAATAATGGCAATGTGTCTTTTACTGTAATAATTTAGAAAATTTAAGCATTCACTGTGTGCTTTGATTATATCTCATACATCCTTATTGCATGAAAATGCATTATAGATATAAATCCTCCAGATAATATTTACAGTTTTTTACAGTGTATTTCTCTTTTTTTCCTCTTTCATGTACTGATACATATTGATGCCTATATTTCTCTAGATGATTTTGGGGGACATGGAAAGACCCTATGAATTCAGAAACAGTTATCTACTTGGTAAGTTGAGATCTGTTCTCTGTAATGTTTATCTCTCTTGAAGCAGCTTCATATTATAGCCCTTTGTTGGTGAACTGAAGGTAGAAATTTTTGGAAAATGAAAACTACATTTGAACAATTACAGTATTATGAAAATAAACATTTTGTTTTGCTTTTGTTCCTTAACTAAGTAATAATGATGTAATTATTTAGCTATTTCTCTATATTTTTGCAGAGCTTTTCCATACATGATTCCATTTGAGGCTCCAACGTCTGTACAAATAGCCAGGGATGGGGTTGGCTTCCCCCTAAGTGGGTCCTCGAATTGAGCACTTGTTCCTGCCTGGTGCACTTCCAGGTTTTATGGCCCGGGTGTGGAGTAGCATGCAGGACAGGGATCAGGACTCCCCCATCTGCCTGCTTGGGCTAAACTCTGGGACCCCCCAGCTCTATGTCTAAGATCATGGCTGGGAGAGAAGGGGTCTCCCTTTGTCCTTCTTGCATGACTTTCCATTTGAAATGGAATTGGGTTAGTGTTCAATGATTTGGGAGCTATGCTTGTATCACTGGCGATTTTCCCATTGGTGCTGATGGTAGCACCACTCTTGTAGCCTCTGGCTTCTCTGCTTCTGAAGCCTGTTTGTTGGGTCATCTGCTACCTTCAAGACTGGACCCACAGCGGCCTTCCTTACTGGCAGGAGGTGTATCCTGACCACAAGGTACAGATGCCATAAATGAAAGGGCTGCAACCCAGAGCCTTGAAAAGACAACACACTGAGAAGACTGTAAAACTGTAAAACTGTGAATACTGTGGTTATTTATATTTTAAAAAGTGAAAAACCACAATTATGTTTATGTGCTAACCGTTTATTTGATTCTGCTTTGTGGTGGACCTAGACAATTATCTTTGAGCTTTGTATTTCATGAAAACCTTAATGAAGAATTCCAGAGATAGTCAAAAAGAAGGAAAAGGAGGAAAAGGAGGAGGAAGAGGACAGCAATGTATTTATGGCATTAGTTACACAATCCCAGAACATTCTGGAAATGGGTGGAGGGGTTTTGTCTTATGATGGTTACTGTGTTATAGGTCTCATTTCTGAGGAATCCAGAAGAGAAAAGTTTTATGATCGGTCACTTGGTAAGTGGTTATTTCCTTCAGTATGCAGACCTTTTTCCAATCAGCCCAGTTTGTGCTGAAACCATTTCACTTAAAATAAAATATTTTAAATGAAAATGAGAAAGATTAATAATGTATAAAGTTGCCTGGAAAATCATTGAAAAGATAACTTTGAGTTACTAACTCACTTAGAAGTTACCAGCCACCAAACAAAATAGCAAGTCCACTGGGAGGCTGAGGCAGGAGAATAGCAAGTAAGAACTGGAACCTGGGCATGTGAGACCCTGTTACAAAGCAAAAACAAAACAAAACAAAAAACAGAACAGAACAGAATAGAACCAAGCCAAACCAGATAAATCCAGCTCAGGAAAGCAGCCCCAGCCGGGCCTGGAGCGTTTTCTGACTAGACCTCATTGCTGGAGTTTCAGGGCCAGGTGTAACCGGACTCCTCAGTACGTGGAGGAGGCTAACCCTGACTCCCTCCCTCCCCTGGAAGACCAGTTTCCTCATTCAGTCTCCACGGTTGGCTCTGGAAGCCCGGTGCGTTCCCAAGCCAGGGCGTGGATAGGCACTGTCTGATGCCTGAGCTCATTTCTCACCAGTGTCCTCCTGCAGCCTCTCCAGTCCTGCCACCCAGCACTGTGCTGCTCTCCCCCACGTTCTGGTAGGCAAACCGAGGCTTTGCGCGCTTCAGTCCCTTGCTCAGAGCTACCCTGCCTGCGTGGGATTTTGATGCCGGCAGTCCGGGGCAGAGACGGGACTTGGAACAGATCTATGATTCTGCAGCCGTGCATTTCCCATGGTGCCCTCCTGGAGCCTGTGAAATCCTCCCTGTGTTGCACATCCGCCATTACAATGGCTGCTTAGATACTCGAATTACAGAGAGCGCTGATCAATGTCATACAGGCTCCTTTTCATTTGGAACATTCAGATTAAACCTGAAGCCTCATTTTAAGAAATGCCTCACGTTTATACCACTTTTAAATTGTCACTTTGGGAAAATAAACAGTTACTATCAGTGTGCCTACCACCGAAAATGTTCTTTAGAACATTTCTCTTGGAGTTGTCTTCAGAATTTATGACCCATACTTTTAAAAACATTTTTTAAAATTTTTATTAAATTTTATTTTATCCCATTCCCCCCTCAGGCCCGCTCCCCTCCCTGTCTACAAAAGCTTTGTTTCCATTTTTTCCTTCTATTTTCTTTTTTCTTCTTCCTTCCTTCCTTCCTTCCTTCCTTCCTCCTCCCTTGTTCCCCTTCCCATTTGAGCACTTTCTTCCCATTTCCCAACATCTGTTATACATCTCAGTCCTTATTTCCACTTTTCATTTCTCACACCAGAGAAACAGTGTGGTATTTAAACACGTGTGCTATGACAGCCCCCCCCCCTTTTTTTTGGTACCGGGGATCAAACTTGGGTCCTTGTGCTTGTGCAGCAGGCGGCGAAACCACTGAGCTAAATTCCCGGCCCTGACCCATTTTTGAATCTCTGTAATGGGCACACATATTTCCCCTTGGGTTTGATTGTGTAAACAGCCAAAAGCAGGATGGAAATAAATTGGATAATTTGGATAAATGACCAATGTGGGTGGATTAGCTATCTATTGCTGTGTATCAGCATAGCCCAGGATTTAGCAGCTTAAAACAAGAAACACTGATTTATTATCTCATTTTCTGGGGATCAAGAGCCCAGAAGCAACCTGTTGTGTGGTTCCGACTCTGAATCTATAACAAGGTTACAGACAAGACGTGGGCTGGGGCTGTGGTCTCAGCTAGAGGTTGACTGGGTCAAAGAATCCACTTTCAAGCTCATTCTCGGGGATGTTGGAATGTCCCAGTCCTTCCTGGGCTTCCATATGGTATTTCTGTGGGGTTTGACGAATGTCTTCCAAATATGACAGCTGGATTCCCCGGTGACATTAGACAGAGAGAAGGTACAGCTTTTCCTGCCCAAGCTGTACCACTGGGACTCAGCAGACCAAGCTTGACCCCTGAGAGGGGACAGCCCAAGAGGGTGAGCCCAGGAGACCACCCCGGATGCTGTGCATCGAACAGTTTCCACTAGGGATGAAAAGTACTGGGCGGCTATACATCAATGTGAGCAACGTTTTTATACGCCTCAGAAGGTGTCTCCAAGCCAAATTTTAACTGCAGTTTGAGCCTTGGGAGCATTGTTGATATAGTTGTGCAGCTGTCAAAGAGATGACTTTAAATGTGACAATTTAATTCAATTCAGCAATGTGTGTGACAAGCTCTGGGCAGATCCTACAGAGGACTGAGAAGGAAATGTGACAGTCCCTGCCCTCGAGGGCTTGCAGTAGTGGCTGAGACAAATCCTGGGTGGTGATGCAGAGTGGGAGAAATCAGCTCTGGGCACTGCTGTGACACAAGAGAGTGGGCAGCTGCACAGGCAGATGAGGCACAGTGCTGCCCATGTCCCTTGGCAGCGTGGACTTAGGTTATTCTGGCTGAATCCTTCTCAGTGATTTATCATGGCCCTGGGTCATTGTGACTGACAGAGACTCTGCTCCTCCTTTCCATTTCAGAGCCCCAGAGAAGGGGTTTTCCACCTGCAAACAGAAGGCTCCCCAACTACAGGCACAGAGCAAGGATGCGCAGTGGCTTTGAGTGACACTGGAGGTAAAGGAGGAATTGACACGGGTGTGTTCCCGCTGTAGAGCCCCTGTAATGTGCTGCTCACCCTGCCTGCCTTCCAGCCCCCTCTGCCTCCTCCAGCACTGCACCGGACCCTCTCACCAGTTTCCTGAGCCCTCAACCTGTGTCTGTCACCACTGATGTCACCAATCGTCTCCACTCTAACAGCAAACAAAGGACCAAGAGCAGCCTCTTCCTTTGCCTCCGCCCTGCTCTTCCCAGCATCCGCTTTCGCTCCCGGCCGAGCTCCTGCACACTGTGGTCTGCAGCTGCTGCCTCAGTCTCCCTGCCTTCCATGCACTTGTCTGCTCTTTTGCAAGCTGGGTTTTATTGCTTCAGATCTCTGAACTCTGGCTTCCTTTTCTAGATCTATAAATACTGGTGACCATCTGTATTATGTCTTCAGCCCAATTCTTTCTTGACTGTATGGGTTACTCTGCCATCTCCTACTTGTGTTTGACTTGAACTATCACTGATACATAATTATCTTCCAATGTGTGTCTCTATCCACACCCTATCTTGAATTCCAGGCCCTCGGATCAGCCATTCTTTGGTCTGGGTCCCCTATGAGCTCCTAAAATGCAACCACTTTCTTGCTAAACTCCCTTCTTGATCGGTGACATCATCATTCACTTGATTTGCTCAAGCTAAACACTTGAGGGGCATCACTGACTCTTCCTCATCCTTGGTCTTTTCTGGGTGTCTCCCATCGTCCAGTGTGGCTGATTTCACCCACACATTTTCTCTCGAGTTGACTGCATCCTCACCTCGGTCCTGATCCTGCACTGTCCTCCTTGCACGCTGTTCTCAGCTTTATCTTAAACACAGAGGAGATTCTGATCCTTGTCTATTTCAACCCCTGATACCAGCTTTGCTTGTGGAGTAAATGGGAGGTGTAAAAAGCCAGACACTGAGCTGAGTAGAACACCCTTCACATTTGCCCCCAGTAATCTAGAGAGCTGGAGCCTGAGCCCTGCTGTCACACCCACCCCTAGGATTACAGTCTTACCAGTGTATAGATTCTCTGTTGCTCCCAGAGACTGGGGCACATGTAGCTTTTTGAGGACTCCTAAGTACTAACTACAGGGATATCACAAAGGGCACATTTAAAAGGTATTTAAGATGCAATTATGGATGTTGTTCTGTACATATTTTTACACGCACACACACAAGTGGTCAATGGAGTTTGAGTGTCTGAACACTTCACTGTTTGCATAGCACTGCCTGCCTCCAGGATAAAGTCCACATGCTCTGTTTGGCTCATGGTGGCCTTCACTGTGCCCATATCCCCAGACTCACCTTGCCCTAGGCTCCAGCAGTACTGAAATACTTGCTGCTCCTCCTGCAAGAGTGGCAACTAGATGGTCTTGGCTACTTCTGCCTCACCATTCACTGGTAGCTGGGCTGTTGCTTCCCTTGGGAGGGCAACTCTGACCCCACAAATGACCACCACCAAAGCAGTGCCAGTGTCCCTTTTGGGCCTCTGTAGACCCTCATCCCAGGGCATGGTGATGCTTGTTTCCTCTCAGAGAGGGCTCCAGGTGCTTCCTCCACCATTGTCCTCCAGTGTACTGCCCTTAGCTGGAGGCACTCAGTACACCAGTGCTCAGTGAATATTTTTGAGTGGGTGATGGAATCCTTCACTTTGGGTTCTTGAAGTTCTTTTACTAAAAAAAAAGAAGCATAGCATAATTAATTTTTAATCACTAGAATTTGAAAGAAATCAACTGACATTTTACTGAAATAGAAGGAAAATTCACCAGTGAGGCCGTTTTAGATGAAAGATGGAAATAGTGTGTTTTAAATCTATGGTACACTCTAAAAATAAAATCTAGCTTCATACTGAGAGATCCAGAAACTACTCATTATGAAGAAATAGACTCATCATATTTCCTTTTTATGAATATAAATCATGTCTTTTCACCTTATATAGCATCCAGGCTGGAAGGAGATTAGAATTCTCAGTGGGTTGGCTGTGTTTTGTGTACTAATCATATGATCTCATTAGATGCATATACACACATGTATCACAGTATAAATGAATTATCTCACGTCTACAAAGAAATTGATCACCTACACCATGTCTTTAAAGACAGCACAGAGTGAAAATGAAACGTGGCAGCCTGGCTTGGACACTGACTCTGACTGGAGCCCTTCCATGACCTCTAGCAAACCAAGTGTCTACACCGTGCTTTCCAGAATCATGAAATGAGGCTGCTACTGCTGGCCCAGTGGGCCCAGTGATGAAGTCTGGGAGTGGCAGGGCTGCTTCTGAGCCTGCTCTGCTTCCTACAACAGTCATCTCAGTCCTTCATCTCTCCAGGCTCGGTGCCTCCGAAGGCTTCTTACTGTGTTTTGTTTATTGAAGATGAATTTCCTTGTTATCCCAATGATTTTAGTTTAAGAATAAGGAACAGTATTAATGACAGGTGTATATGTATCAAGAATATCTTTGTCAATTTCTTACTGCTAAGAACAGCGAACTAGAATCAACCAGGATGGGAGAAAGGAAGGAAGGAATGTCCAACCAAAAACAAGATTACTATTTTCAAACTGTTAGTGACATGTTTTTATGGAGAGCTTTTTGATGGCTGACACTTTGCCTCATTTGTCATGGAATCTCCAGAGCTTGGCCCTGTCCCTGGAGTAAACTAGGAGCTAAGTAAGTGTTTTTATAATTTAATAAACGCCACTCTATAATTCTTTCAGGCTGGTAGAAAATGATTTAATATATCAATGTATAGTGAAATGTAGTATTTAACAAAAGACGTCTAAAATCTTTTCTTATTTGAACTCTAGAATAAGATATGAAGAAAATCAGGGTCCAACTCTCATGTCGAAAGGAATATATCTGAGAGTCCTACACTTTCTTGATCTGGTAGCTGGAAATACCAGTTATGTAGTGGGTAGAAGATACTCAGCACCTGGACCAGGGCAACATGAATGATACATCTTCCTTGCTCCTGCAGTGGATTTGCATGGAATTCTTTTTTAAAATTTTTATTTTCTTGTGATAGTGGGGATTGAACCCAGGGCCTTTGCACTGAGCTATACCCCCAGCCCTTTCTATTCTTTAAAAAATTTTCAGGCGGGTTCTCACTAGGTCATTAAGTTGCCCAGGCTGGGTTCAAACTTGGAACCCTCTTACCTCAGTCTCCCAGAGTGCTGGGATCACAGACATGTACCACCGCACCTAGGTGTGCATGGAATTCTTAAACCATGCCCAAGAGCAGCAAAGGAGGCCACTCTGACTGAAACCTTTGGTCAGCAGGTGCATGGTGGGAAGACTCAACCCCATGACTTTCTCCATTTGTTCCATAAATGTTCACCAAATGCCCACTTGGCGCTGGACCCCTGCATCCAGGAAAATCATGACCCTCTACGGTTCCTGCTTTGTTTGTGTCCTTGATGGGCACTGCCTTAGATTAGTCATGCGACAGTCCAATTGAAGCTTTATTATTATCCCTCTATCTTACAGATGAAAAAGCAGAGATACTTAGTGGCCCCTGCTCTCAGAGGTAATATCAGGGTTCAGATTTGCCCCCTATCACCTGCTTCCAAAGCTTTGTTTGCTTTCCTGTGATCCTTTCACGTCCATGTTTGAAAGACAGCACAAGAGGCCAAAACTTCAAGCACTATTTAAGATACACCTGTCATGTTTATGTGGAGCTAGATACACACTCACCGACATGCGGTTTGGAGATGTGGCTCAGTGGTGGAGTGTTTGCCTATGCAGGAGGCCCTGGTTCAATCCCCAGTAGGGCAAAACTAGCAAAAATAATAGAAGGAAGGAAGGACTTTGGGGGACTTGGCAATGTGCTTCCCCACCATGAGCCATGTGGACGTGGGTGGGCTGGCCACCTCAGGGCGCTTGTGGAATGATTCCAAGAATTCAGATCTCGGACTTACTAGTGAGAGCTTCTTGTCACACTCTCCTCGATCTCCCACTTGCTGAGGGAGCGGAGATACTCCAGGAGAAGGAAAAGACCCCCCCCCCCCCACACACACACCAAGGCTCCAGAGGGAGAAAAGTGGCCATGGGCAGCTCTATTTATTTATACTTCGCCATGATGTTCGAGCACTATGAACTACTTCACCAAGAGCAGTCGATTCCCATGATTCTCACTGCAGTCCAGAAATGCTGCAAACACTGAATTTGTGAATATTGAGCCATTCGTTGCTCCTTCAGGAAAGGCAAATTCGGGTGCCTATGAGCCTCTGGTCCCAACATTTTCCTCAATGGGTCAGTGTATGACTTTCTTTCCCATGTGTGCTGTTCAGGTGCCTTATTTACTGTATTTTGTTGCTTCATTAACAGTGAACTTGTGCCCAACAGTGTTAGAATTCATGCCTGGAAGGACCTCCTCAAACACGGTGTTTTCTCCATAATGCACGTCACCGCCTTCCGGGAGCCCTAGAGGGCGCTATACTAGGGCACCATTTTAAATGATGAAACCGTCAACAAAAAGTACAAAAATGTTAAAAATTTAAAAAGTAATACTAGATAGGCCTTAAAAAGGACATATGTATGTAGGACAAAACCTGAAACAAGAAGGCAGAATGTGGCCTTATTTGTCGTCTACTGAAGATGTGTGGATAGGATGACTCATTTTTTACCACTCTCTATGCCCCAGAAGGAGGGAGAAAGCACCAGGAGCACTGCTTTAGGGTATAAAAATAAGTATCAGTGAGTCGGTGAATTCCCAAGAGCAGAAGCTTGGAATAAGTAGGACTGACTGTACAATGGGTATCCAACACCCAGTTTGTCTCTAGCTTCCTTTGATGTCTCTTATTCCTGTATCAGCCTAGATTTTAAAGAGAACTCTTCAGTGCTGCCCCTAGACCTCATCCACTCTCTCTTCATACACTGGCAGGGGTCTGCTCAGTAAACAGCGCCATGGCTGCCTTCCGGTGTCTGCATCCACTCCATTCCTGCTGAACCCCATGGCCACACTGGAGGCCAGGGCCACACCTTTCCTGAAATCCTCTGCCACTGAAGTTTTGTGGCTCGGAACCAATACTTCTTCCTGCTCTTCATGGGTTCATCTTCTCCATCCTGTTCCTTGTGGGTGAGAGTCCCAGGGTCTGAATTCAGCTGGCTCTCCCTCTGCTCTGTGCTCTCCTTCAGGTGTCCTCAGGGCTGTGATGCTCGCTTGTCTGGGGATTCTCCCATTCTGGTGCCTTGGACTCCAGGATTGAGTAGACAGTAGCTTGCTGGTACCTCCATCGGAATATTCCACGCCAGGCTCAAACTGGAATTCCTCCCTGGGGGACTTGCCCTTCCTCCTGCATCCAGCACAACTCTTCCACTGCCTAGGCCTGAGATAGATTCATCTCCAGTCTTTTCCCCTTCTTCCTGCAAGTGGTCACCGTGTCCTGCTGATCCTTCCTCTGAAATGCTCTGCCCTCTCTTTGTGCTGTCTGCTCCTGTCCCAGCCTCTTCATCTCTAGCCTGAAGATAGCTCTGTATCTTCCTGCCAGTTCCATCTCATTCCCCTCAAAGGCTCTGGCACCAGAGTTTCTTAACACAAGTCCTTACCAGCTCAAGGGCTCTGCTCACCTGAAGGATGGAGTCTAAGTGCAAGCAGCAAGGCACAGGAGCAATCACTCACTGCCCCATGATGTGGTCTCGTGTGTGCCCCAGCTGTGTCCTGCTTCTCTCTGCCTCCGTAGTCATGTCAGGGGTCTCACAGAGCTGACTATTTCTGGGGTCCCACCTTCACTCCCAAGGCCCTACTGCTGGGAGACAGCCCCCACCCAGCTCACCAAGTGCAGCTCGCTTGTCTCTCCCAGGAGCGCCTTTCCTTGGAGTTTCCTGCACACAAGTGTCCCTGTAATTGCATTTAGCACACTGGACTCTAACCACCTCTATCTTTCCACTAGTTGTGTGTGTGTGTGTACATGTGTGTGTGTGTGTAAGTGTGTTTTCTTGAGTTCAGGATCATATCTTTTTGGTCATTGTAACTCCCAATAAGTGTTCCATGCACTGATATTCACTGACTAGATGAGCTGATGGATTAATGAGTGGATGGATGGATGGATGTCCCCTTCTCCTGTCCCAAGCCCACAGCTGTGACCAGTCTTCTCCAGTACTGACAGAACTGGTGCCTTTCCTCCCACCTTCACACCGCAAGACCAGCCTCCCAACACCGAGCTGAGCCGCTCCTGGGTGGGCTCTCTGGTTCTTTGTTTTGTGAGATTTGAGCTTCCTTCCCGAGGCTGTGTCTGTGTCCTCCTGACTTGATTACCTCTTCTTCCCATGGGTGTCTCTCATCCCTTTCTTTATTCACAGAGCTGGTTGCTTTGGTCTCTGGTGCCGTCTTGGATCTGCCCTCAAGAATCCTGGGTCCGAGGAGCCTACTCAGGAACTAGATGCCTGTGATGATGTCTAAGCTCCTTTCTTTCTCTGTTACCAGCAGAGTGTACAGCAGGAAGACAAGTTCTAAGGAGGAAAAATACTCCATGAATTCTGTAAATTTTCTTCTGACCAGCCCCAGTCCATAATAAACACCTTCCTTTCCCTGTGAGGCTCTTTCATTGTCTGATTTTTAAAAGAATAACATTAACTATCAGATTTTCAGATGAGAAACTCATGGCAAGAAGAGACTGATGCTAGCTATGGATTTTAGGAAATGACAGAGTCACTGCAATTAGCATGTTTTAGATCAATTCACAATGGCTGTGAGTTACATGTTATGAAAAAGAGAAGCAAGATTTATAAATAAATATATTCACCGTTTTTTTAAAGTATTAATAAGTGCAAAATTTTAGGTCACTGTCTATAATAAATTCAGCATGGGTAATTTATTCAAATTGGTACCATTATTTACATGAAACTAGTTAGTGGGTAAGGAGCTAGCAAAAGAGGACTACACTTATTTCCAACTGGTAAATAGCTTGGATTCAAAAAAGTCACATTTTAAAAGAAAAAAGAGAAGCATTCACAAGCATCTCAGTGTCCAAAGAGATTTGTCTTCTCCTTGTGTTTAGTTTTCATGTTGGAAAATCATCCACAGAGCTCTGAGGACTTTTAGGGCAGCACAGCTCTGTATGGCCCTATCATGGTGGATACAAGACACTGTGCATGTGTTAACCCCACATACTCTGTGACGCTGAGTGAACCCCAATACAGACGATACACGTCAGTTAGTACTGGCACATCAATATTGGTCTATGAGTTGTGACAAATGTGCAACATTAAGGCAAGATGTCAACAATAGAGGGACTTGTGGCAGTGAGGCACAGGGTGGGGAGATGGGATGTAGGGGAACTCTCTGTATTTTCTGCTCAATGTTTCTGTAAGTCCAAAAGTGATCTAGAGATAAAACATAGTAATAAAATGTCATCTGGTAGCTAAAGAAAATGAGTCGTCATGATCATTGTCCCCACAAAACATCCTTGTCACTTGCTTTCTTTCAGATTTCTTAGTCTAGAGAATCAACACCAGATTGAGCTTTCAATCAAAGTTTCCAAGGGAAAGCAATCTGGGTTCTGCAGGCAGCCGTGGAGAGAAGAGAAACATGGACACCTCAGGCTGGACTCATCCCGCTGGGGCTGACCGAGGAGCGAGAGGGTCGGAGGATGAGACTCACCCGACCCTAAGGGGCTGTTCAAGATTGGACCCCACATCAGTTCCAAGGCTTTGGCCTAAGACACCATCTCCTGAGGGAGGGCTGCACAGGGTCCCTGCCAGTTGTGCCTGCCTGGA